CCTTTAAAGGAAAATCCATGTTTAAAGTTTTTTGATTCATTTTTTAAGCTTGTTTCTGATCCTTTCATATATTCTTGTGGCCCACTTTTGAGTTGAGGAATGCTGGATGACTTCTGGGGGTCCATTTCAGCCATACTTTTCTGTTTGTAAATACCAGATCAGACTGAGGAAAAAGAAGGGAGAGATGTAGACACCTAAATTAGGCACAGGCTATATAGAGAAATGTTATTAGCTCTTGGTAGATGTTAAATTTAAAGTGAGATTAACATATTAATGGAGCAATAAATTGTAACATGCCACACATTCAAGCAATTTATTACTAGATAAGCTGCAAAAATGGTGATTCAGCCTCAAAGATGTTACTTGTTAAATACATGATATCTTTGTATCTTGTTTGTATCAGGCTCTAATTTTAATGTGTAGCTTATTACACATAGGGTGATAGTTTCCGGCCAGGTCCTCCAACATTTCTGCATAGACTACTTTCTCCTCACTCCCCTCCTTCCTGCAAAGGGACTTCTCTGTGACTCATCATGATGAACTCTGTTGCACCAGGGTGCCTCAGCAGGAGATGTAATGACTCACTGCCCCACTTCCCTTTCTCCAACCATCCTTCAAGGCTGCTTTTTTAAGGAGCCACTTAGCACCTCTTCCCTGTAACAGCCAGAGTATATACAAACACTCAGCCCAATGTGTTTTACTTGCACACAGTAAAAGTGTGTAGGGGAGAGAGGAAGAGCACATACAAGAAAGCATCTAAAAAAGTGTCCCAGGACAGTATACGCACTGCTGTTCCTCCCCACTCTCCACCTTTCCCCCACAACCCACACCCTTGCCCTGGTCTGCATTAGGGTTAGGGGGAAGCAGCTCCATCACCCAAGGGAGGCTCAGCTGTTGTGTTGAGGGCTCACTTCTTATTAGCAGCACAAATGAAGATGGGGCAGAGAAAGGGAGACGGGAGGGAATTACAGGTCCTGCCAGCTGCTCTTCAGGTCCCCTTGCTGGCCAGTGATGGCAGGACAAGTTCCTAGGACATATTCCCCCCTGCCCCTATGGATAGCTTGCCCTGTGAATGTCAAACATGTCAGATCCAGCAATAGTTTCCATCAAGAATGATGCCTGTTGCTTAGTGGAAATGTTTGCCAGGGACTATTGTTAAAAAAGCCCCCGGTTCTCTGTTGAGGACAGGTCTCTCTATGTGACAGCTTAGGAGGGTACCCGAGGTGGAATTGAATAAGATATTGAAGGAGTTATTTTGGGGAAATGAGGCTGAATATTTTCTGCATCATATGTTCATATTAGTCTGAGATATAAACAAGGAGAAGGCAACATAAGTCAGTCTGAGACTTGATGACACATCAGAGGACATGTGATGGGCCAGGTCTCTACACATGCAGGATCCTTTTAAATACAAGCAAAGCAGAGAGCCTTAGGGTAGAAGTGAACTAGAGCTTCTCCACTAGTATCAGTGGAGCCAGGATTTCACCCACAACAACTATGAAAGGCAGAATAGATATGCAGTATAACGGATGAAGTATAACAAAACACAGCAACACAACACAATGCAGAATAGAACAGGCATCTTTGGAGGGTTTCATAAGTGAAAATGGAATTCATGTAGAGATTTGATGGAACAGATGGAAGGCATATATAGTTGGAGACTTGTTCCAAACAGAAAAAATGGCATGGAAGATATAAAGTGAAGAGTGGCAAGATGATAGGAAGTTCACAGTTTAGACTGAAAACACAGAGCAAGATACAAGGTGGGTGAAGGATTGTGACATCCATCCATCTATCTATATAGGCTGAGAAGCACTTTAGAGGAAAAATAAAGCAGAGAAGAATCAAGCTAAGAACTGACCCCAAATTCTGCATTGAGATATGCCTATTGAAGCCCCTCTGAAATAAACATAGGTTGCACCCATTGGTATCTGCCTTCATCATTAGGACATATCCACCATCCATCTTTTGGAGTTTTAATAGCAGAGTTTCAAACAGGCACCTTAAGTATAACCCAGTAGATGTATATCCTTCACAGACCCCTAGAGTATGTTTACTTATGTTCCCTGTAGGAATGTGAGCAAAACAGTGTATTATTACTTCATTTTAGTTTTCTAATTCTTTACTCAGTTCACTTAAAGCAAGGTCAGTGGTAAATGTTTAGCCTTAGGCTCTGATCCTCATTAATTCTACCACAGACCCAAAAGCGGATATGATGACCTGAACTTTTTAAACAGAATGACCTGCAAACAGTTCAGAACTGTACTAGGCTCAAAAGTTGAATAATAAGAAGCTAAAATCCTAAAGAAAAAAAACTCACCCCAATTTTTTAAGGGGAAAAATACAATTTTATTAATTTTATGAAGATCATTTTTATATCATTCTAATTTAACTTTTACGAAGTGAAAGTTTAGGGATGAGTATAGCATAGTCTGAAAAATAATATATGGGATATGAAAGGTAAAGCAGCAAAGTATGTATGCCAGTGACTGGCAAGAGATTTTCAAAGGCACACATGAGAGTTAGGCACCCACTTCCTATTGAGGGTCAATCAGACTTCAGTGTATATATCTGATTTTGAAAATCTCCCCTTAAAAGTGAGGAGACCCCAGTCCAATAATGGATACCACATGATCAGACTGCTGTGCCTGTGTAGAAATTGACTTCACAGGGCTTTGTATGGGTGGAGAAACATTAGATTTTCTCAGTTCAACTCTTCCATGTCTTTACATTTCCTTTCAAATTTCCCTTTAGATTCTTAGCTACATTTCTGTATCTCCATTTCCCTTCATTTTTTTAAATCTCCACTACTTATCTCTATTT